CCCCAAAAAAAAAAAAAAAAAAAGCCTAAACCCACTTCCGGCTCCCCTAGTAATGTAAAACAGTGATGAGTCAAAAACCTTTGTGCCCCAGCCACCACAGAGTAGGCAGTGGCATGCTGCTGTGCTGTGCGGAAACCACATGGCTGACCACAGTGTGGCATTCACGGTCGGCCAGAAACAGGCCAGGCACATGGGCACACCCAAGATGCTGACAGGCTGGAGGGCCGTCTTGCTGAGGGGCCTGTCTCTCTCTACGTCACTCTTTCTCATGAACAAAATTAACTTTAAAACAATCAGCCATGTGGGGTCCAGCCGCCTTTACATGGTGCCACTGGTTGGCCCAGGACGTTTTTCATAGACCATATGTTCCCAGACACAGAGATTGGCTTTTCTCCTCACAACTGTAGCCTTAGAACTTAGTTCAGGGGCCATCCGGTGCCATGGGGATTCGGTGGCTGGAACCCACATGACCAAGATCCAGTGGCTTGAAAAACACACTTGGGGGGTGGGCAGTAGTAGGTGGTATAATGATTATGGGGCTGGACTCCCACTGATCCACTGGGGTTTGAGTCCTGGTTCTGGAGCCTGAAACTCACATGTGCATGCCCAAAATCCCAAGAAGAGAAGGGAAGAAGAAGGGAATGTGGGGTGGTCATCCCCCCGGGGGGTGATTTCTCACTTTCTGCATCTGTCTCTCTGGTAAGTGCACACACCCTATAGCAAAATCTCAGGGCCTATAGGTAGCTTGGTGGTTAAGGCACTAGACTCCCACATGGCCAACCACAGTTCTAGTCCTGGGCCTGATGGCTTTCTCTCTCTCTCTCTCTTTTTTCTCTCTGGTCAAATGAAAGAATAACAATGAATAAAAAATTAATATATTTTTTTTAATCTTAGAAAAAAAGAAAAAGAGGGACCAGCAGATGGTGTAATGATTATACCACTGGACTCCTACATAGTAGACAATGGTTCAAGTCCCAGATCTGGTGACTTAAAACACACCAGGCAAGGATGACTCTTAAGCACATAGTGGGGTTTAGAAATCTTACCCATTCTTTCTTTACCTACACACTTGTCTAAGATAAAAATTTTCACCAGATCCTCTCCCCTAGTATCTTTAGCACATATTCACTGTTCTCCCCATTTTTGTCTTTCCCATATTCGTGAATTCATACTGCCCTGCACCTGGTCCCATTTCACTTCTTTTGATGCTCCTAGTAGTTTCATTAAGTCTTACCCTGTAATTTTGCTTTTAATTTTGATACCTCTTTATGACTTAACAATAAAAAAGATGTATGATTTTTATCAACTGTCTCCAAAATAATCTCTTGTTATGCAGGGAGTACAGTTCTTCTCATTCATCAATGAGTCAGTAGTTGCTTCTCTGACTGCAAAGGCAGTGTCATCTAGTTGAGTAGCACCTGGGAGCAACTGTGAGTTAGAAGTATGTTTTATGCCCCACACTACAGTGCTATGTGGGGCTGTTCAACACAATGTAACAGTGTTTTTGTGAATGGGAGTTGGCATGTCAGATGCATCCTCTAGAAAATAGTGTAATAGTCTTAAGATTTGTTTTCTAAAGTTGATATTGTGGGTTATTTTTGTGAACAGCTTGGTGTTGGGGACCTTTTTCCCTCAAAATAAAGAAGTCCTTATTAAACTAGGAATTTGAAGAGAAAACAAAAAAGCTCACGCCAGGCACATGTGCATGTGTGCCCAAAATCCTGAGAGGAGAATGGAGGAGAAAGGATTGAAGCATGGCTATCCCCCTCAGAGGGGTGATTTCTCACTTTCTGTCTCTCTAGTGAGTGCATGCACCATATAGCAAAAAAAACTCTCTGAAAAAGAAAAACACACTGGGTGTGTGGGTGCCCCAAATCCTGGAAGGAGAAAAGGAAGAGAAGGAATTATGGTGTGACCATCCCAATTTTCCAGTTTTCTCTTTCTCTAACAAGTGAATACGCCTTCCAGCAAATTAAGAAAAAAATACAACTTAGTTCAGAATCTGGCTCATAACTGACTCAATTTTTATGAATATCTGAATAAATGAAATGCTTACTTTGGATGCCATCTCAGTAAGAAATAATACTTTCCAGGCCAGCAGTTGGCATGGTGGTTAAGGCACTGGATCCTGGGACCAGCAGATGGCATAATGGTTGTGTCAGTGGACTCTCACATGGCCAGCCATGGTTTGAATCCCAGACCCGGAGGCTTGAAATTCACACTGGGTGTGTGTGCATGCATGTCCAAAATTCCAAGAGGAGAATAGAAGAGAAGGGATTGCGGGGTGGCCATCCCTCCAGGGGGTAATTTCTCACTTTCTACCTTTCTGTCTCTGTCTGTCTCTATAGTGAGTGCGCATACCCTATGGGAAAAAACTCTCTCTCGAAAAAAAAATGGTACTGAATCCTATGTGGCCAACTCTGCAGGTTCAAGTTCTAGACCCAGTGGCTTAAAAAGTATGCTAGGTGCACGTGTGTGTGTGTGCGCCCAAAATCCCAAGAGGAGACAAGAGGAGAAGGGATTGTGGCATGGCCTCATGGGGTGAGTTCTCACTTTCCCTTTCTCTGTGTCTCTTTCCTCCGGCCCTCCATTCTGTAGGGTCCTGGGCACGTGCATGCACCCAGGGGCTGGGACCCGATCCCTGGTCAGCCTGTGGGATCCAGCTCTCTTCATGCACCACTGACTGCTGCACCTCGAGGCTGGCCCCGGGCTCTCCTATTTATGTTGCAGAATTGTCCCACAATTCCACTTTGAGTTTCTTCATTTTTCTCATGCTTGAGAGAGGAGAGGTCTATTCGAGTCTAAATTCGCTTCGAGCAGGAGAAAGAGCTTCTCCTTGGATCTCCGTGATACACCTTGCTGTTTTGGGTACCATCTCTGATCTTTAGCAGAAGAGCTCATTGGTCAGAGTCATGTGACCAGGGCTGTCTCTGGAGAGTCTCTTTGGTTTGGTGAAATCTCTATACAGGGTCTGCTTTCCAGCTCTGTGTGGTTCGGCCTCCTCTCGTACATGGCACATTCAATGTCTTATTGCGATGTCTTCCTCGGGGGGACAAACCCTATCCCCACTGGCTTAAGTTCATTGTGGTGTGATTTGCTGAGGCCTTCCAACTCTGGTAACTCCCAAAGGCCACGGGGTGTGGGAAGAGTATGTAGCTGGGCAGCTCCCCAAAGTCCCGTGACCTAGCCAACCTACCACCCCTTGGTCCTCGGGATTGAGGCTGGCGAGCTATATTCTGTCACCTCCTCTATTTACTTACCACCAACACCCTGTTTCCTTGAAGAGAAGTTAGAAAGATCACATGTATGCAGCAAGAGAGTTGGGGCCTAGGCAGCATGTCTGGCTGCACTGTTTTGCAGAACTGTTTGGTCATCAGCAACTCCCTACTTATCTCTTCGGTCTCTATTTCTAATAAATGTTGCTCATGGGGAAACTTCTTTTTTCCCCTAGGGAGCAGAAGATATGCTCACCACAGAAAGACAGAGACAGAGGGTGGGAGGGAGAAATCACCCCTTGGGGAACAGTCTGGCACTGTCCCCTCTCTCCCTCCTCTCAGGACTTTGGGCACGCATGCACATGCCTGGCATGTGTCTCACACTACTGGGTCCAGGACTCAAACAGTGTGGTTGACCATGTGGGATCCGGTTGTCTTAACCACCAGGCTGTGGAGCCGGCCCACTCTTGGCTTTTTCCATAGTAGTTTGGCAGAGGCTAGTTATCAGCTGGTGCTGGAAACCCAGAGGCTAGCATTCAGTAGCTAGGAGATGTGCACAGGAATTCCCATCTCCCCTGCACTTGGGAATGAGGCGCCTAAGTGATCCCGACATGCAGCCGGTGTGGGCTGTCAGCACAGATGTCGGTGAGGCTGACGGAGTGGATGAGGCCACCCTGTGCTATCGTGACCGTGCCTGAGCGCCCCAGTGGTGTCCTCAGCTGTTACCCCTGAACTGCTTTTTTCTGGAAGTTCTTTTTTCCCCCCTGCAAAAGCTGAAAGGCATTACCCAAAATATCAAAATACTATAGCTAGTCAGTTACTACCACTGCTTGAGAGAGGTTTCAAATTGGATTTTATTCCTTGCAATTTTTCAGTGTTTCAAGGGTTACATTCATTCTAGGGGTCCATGTCTAGTACTATAATGTCATGAGAGCCTTATTTTGGGAATCTAATCACTCACCAATCAGGAAACATGTACGACCTGTTATAAGGTACAGGTGCCAGAGGCAGATCGTGTCCTGTGAAACTGGACCTTATTACAAACTCATGGACCCTTTTTTTTTCTTCTTTTTTTAAAGAATTATTTGAGACCAGCAGATAGCATAATAGCTATGTTGCTGGACTCCCATGTGGTTGACCGTGGTTCGAGTCCTAGACCCAGTGGTCTAGGACTTAAACTCACACTGGGTGCGTGTGTGTGCATGTCTAAAATCCCGAGAGGAGAATGGAGGAGAAGAGATTGCAGCGGCATGGCCATCCCCCCCCCCGAGGGGGGGGTGATTTCTTGCTTTCTGTCTCTCTGTCTCTCTGGCAAGCGCATGTGCCCTATAGCAAAAACCTCTCCAAGAAAAAAAATTAAAGAATTATTTATGTAATTTTATTTATTCATTCATTTATTTTAATTTGACCAGAGACACACTCATACACATGAACACACAGAAAGAGAGAGAGAGGAAGTAAAAAAGCAAGCCACCAGGTCCAGGACTTGAACCATGTTGGCCATGTGGGAGTGTCTAGCACCTGACTGTACCTTAACCACCACTCCACTTGCTGGTCCCTATGGACCCTCTTTAAAAAAGAGGAAGGAAGAAAAGGAGCAGGGAAATGAGGCAGAAAAGAGGGAGAGGAAAATGCTATGACAATGACAACAGTGGCATTTTTGACAAAAGTACAAATTAAAAATTAGGTATAGACTTTCATTTCCAGAAAGATGGGATGGAAGATATTTCTCCATTTCTCTTACTAAATATAGCTAAAATCCCAGATTCTTGAGTCAAACAAGAACAGTGGACTCTGAAGGGTGGAGAAAAGAATAGGCCATCTGGGACCTTGGACCAGGAACCACACACTAGTTTTCCTTTTACTTCGGATGTTCCTGACTCAGAGCTGAAGAAGCTGGCACCCTGGAAGCCCCGGTGGGCACAGAAGGAAGCCTGCGCTCTCTAGCCAGAGAGGTGAGGACTTGCAGCCAAGGACTCCTTTCAGCTCTGGCTCTGCTGCTGACGAACTGGTGCGCTCCAGCTCCCCCTCAGCCTCGGACTCCATGCTGGAGAGGAAAGGTAAGGAGAGGAGACCTGTGTTTTAAGCAAATTTCACTTTTCATTGTGTAGAACAGAAATGCGGGGCTGGCTCTGTGGTGCTACAGGAGCCGCATGGCACGCGGCCACTGCAGTTGGAACCCTGTCCCAGTCACCTGAGACACGCTCGGGAGCGCCCTGCTGTTTTGGACTTGGCTGGAGGGGGCGTCGCAGCAGGGCCAGACCTGTGGGGTGCGCCTCTCTCTCATCCTGTTCTCATTCTCACTCTCTTATCTAGTGTGAAAGAAGAAAAAAAAAAAAAACCAGAATGGAAATAATTGCACATTATAGAACATTTGAAATTAAGGAGATGCATAAAGAAAAATCTCACCATTGAGAATCAACCATTATTAACATTTGAGGCATTTTTCAGTCTTTTAAAAATAATTTATTGGGACCAGAAGATAGCGTAATGGCTGCGTCACTGGACTCTCATGTAGTGGACCGCGGTTCAAGTCCCTGACCCGGTGGCTTAAACTCATGCCAGGAGCATGGGCATGCGTGCCCAAGGTCCCGAAAAGAGAATGCAGGAAAAGGAATGGCGGCGTGATTTCTTGCTTTCTGTCTCTCTGCCTCTCTGTCTTTCTGTCTTTCTGGCAAGTGCATGCACCCTATAGCAAAAAATCCTTTCCCCCCCAAAAAAAAAACTTATGTCTGTTATATATTTGAGATCATACTATATCTAAAAAAACTTTGCATTTATATTGTTAATACTAGAACATATTACAAACTTAATAAATATTTTATAGGCTACATATTATTTTATCATGTAAATATGCCTTCACTTAACCATTTCTTTGTATTTTTTTCACAGTGGAACAATTTTGATTTTTATACACACACACGCACACGCACACACACACACACACACACACACACATTTATTGCTCATTGGCCAGGTATGCTAGCAAGAGGAACAGAGAAGCACAAGAAGAGGGAGAAAGTCGCTCCTGATGGGGCACAGTCAGGCTGCATGACCTTCTCCATTTCTCCATCCCATGGGGATTGGGGGCCAGGATTTGAACAGTGGCCAACTATGTAGGATCCACTTCCTTCACCCACTAGGCTACAGGGCCTACCCCACTTTGTAAAATCTTTATATTTATGGTAACTTTTTAAAAATAATTATTTAATTTTATTTATTGCTTTTATTCCTTTTAGTTAACTTGAGAGAGAGAGGGAAAGTGAGAAGAGAAAACAAGCCACCGGGTCTGAGACTCAAACTGTGGTTGGCCGTGTGGGAATCCAGTGCCTTAACCACCATGCCACCTACTGGCTCCATGGGAATTTATATATTTAGCAGTTTTGTGACATTTATTTTTTGGGTTGTCAGAAAACTCATGACACATTTTTGCACAGAAAATCATAGAAAATGCATCATGATGTTTCCAACATCCCAATGTTTATTTATTTATTTATTTATTTATTTATTTATTTATTTGTTGTAGGGCTCATGTGGTCACTGGAGAGAGACAGAGAGATAGAGAAAGTAAGAAAGCATTCTCCAAGGGGCGTGATCATGCTGCGACCCCTTCTCCATTTTCCTCTTGGAATTTTGGCATGCAAGCACTTGTTCCTAGCACGTTCTTCATGCCACCAGGTTTGGGACTCAAACCGCAAAGTCGGACATGTGGAATCCAGCTACCTTAACTACTACACCACAGACTGGCCTTCACATATTTCTTTCTTTCCTTTTTTATTCAAAGTTTTTATCATAGGGCACATGTACTCAACAGAGACAGACAGAGACAGAGAGAGGAAAAATGAGAAAACACTCCTCGGGGATGATCACGCTGCAATCCCTTCTCCATTCTCCTCTTGTAATTTTAGGCATGCATGCACATGTGTCCGGCATGATTTTCAAGCTGCCATGTCCGGGACTTGGACCGTGTTCACCCATGTGGGAGTCCAGTTCCTTGACCAGCACACCACCTGCTGGCCCCCCACACTGATTTCATCTGCTTTGGATATATATAGAGAGGAGGGCTGCTGGATCCTATGGTATTTCTGTTTCAAAACTTTTGTGGAGCCTCTATTGTTTTCCATAATGGCTGGACTAATTTACATTCCCACTAACAGTGCACGAGGGTTCCCTTTTCTGCACATCCTTCTAGTACTTGCTATCTTGTCTTTCTGATAATAGCTGACCTAATGGGAGTGAGGTGATAGCTCACTGAGGCTTCAGTTGCATTGCCCTGATGAGAAATGATGTTGGGACCAGCAGTTAGCGTAATGGCTATGTCGCTGGACTCCCATGTAGCTGATCGTGGTTCGAGTCCCGCATCCTGGAGGCTTAAACTCACGCTGTGTGCGTGCATGCCCAAGATCCTGAGAGGAGAATGGAGGAGAAGGGATTGTGGTATGGCCTTCCCCCCCTGGGGAGTCATTTCTTCCTTTCTGACTCTCTGTCTCTCTCTGTCTTTCTGGCGAGCACACACGCCCCATAGCAAAAACCTCTTCAAAAAAAAAAAAAAAGAAGAAGAAATGTTGAACATTTGTTCACATCGCTGTTGTCTGTTTTCATGTCTCCGGATAAATGTCTGCTCAGGTTCTTTGCCTATCTCTGAGACTAGGCTGTTCTCTTACTGTTTCCCTTCTCTCAGGATGACTGTCCTGCACTTTCTGCTGTCTAGTGTTTGAAAACCACTGTCATATGTCTTGTCCTTTCTTTTTTTTTGGAGAGGTTTTTGCTATAGGGCGCTTGCGCTCGCCAGACAGACAGAGAGAAAGCGAGAAATCACCCCCTGGGGGGATGACCACGCCGCATTCCCTTCTCCTCCATTCTCCTCTCGGGATCTTGGGCACGCACGCACACGTGCCCAGCATGAGTTTAAGCCACCGGGTCCAGGACTCATTCTCCTCTTGTAATTTTAGGCATGCATGCACATGTGTCCGGCATGATTTTCAAGCTGCCATGTCCGGGACTTGGACCGTGTTCACCCATGTGGGAGTCCAGTTCCTTGACCAGCACACCACCTGCTGGCCCCCCACACTGATTTCATCTGCTTTGGATATATATAGAGAGGAGGGCTGCTGGATCCTATGGTATTTCTGTTTCAAAACTTTTGTGGAGCCTCTATTGTTTTCCATAATGGCTGGACTAATTTACATTCCCACTAACAGTGCACGAGGGTTCCCTTTTCTGCACATCCTTCTAGTACTTGCTATCTTGTCTTTCTGATAATAGCTGACCTAATGGGAGTGAGGTGATAGCTCACTGAGGCTTCAGTTGCATTGCCCTGATGAGAAATGATGTTGGGACCAGCAGTTAGCGTAATGGCTATGTCGCTGGACTCCCATGTAGCTGATCGTGGTTCGAGTCCCGCATCCTGGAGGCTTAAACTCACGCTGTGTGCGTGCATGCCCAAGATCCTGAGAGGAGAATGGAGGAGAAGGGATTGTGGTATGGCCTTCCCCCCCTGGGGAGTGATTTCTTCCTTTCTGTCTCTCTGTCTCTCTCTGTCTTTCTGGCGAGCACACACGCCCCATAGCAAAAACCTCTTCAAAAAAAAAAAAAAAGAAGAAGAAATGTTGAACATTTGTTCACATCGCTGTTGTCTGTTTTCATGTCTCCGGATAAATGTCTGCTCAGGTTCTTTGCCTATCTCTGAGACTAGGCTGTTCTCTTACTGTTTCCCTTCTCTCAGGATGACTGTCCTGCACTTTCTGCTGTCTAGTGTTTGAAAACCACTGTCATATGTCTTGTCCTTTCTTTTTTTTTGGAGAGGTTTTTGCTATAGGGCGCTTGCGCTCGCCAGACAGACAGAGAGAAAGCGAGAAATCACCCCCTGGGGGGATGACCACGCCGCATTCCCTTCTCCTCCATTCTCCTCTCAGGATCTTGGGCACGCACGCACACGTGCCCAGCATGAGTTTAAGCCACCGGGTCCAGGACTCCAACTGTGGTCAACTACATGGGAGTCCAGCGACATAGCCATTACGCTAACTGCTGGTCCCATGTCTTATCCTTTCTAAGCCAGAAAGGCACAGTGTACCCGGCACGGTGGGTCCATCGTCACTAAGGCAGAAGCTGCCATTGGTGTCTGGCTTTATCCTAGGAACAGACACACCATCACAGGGGCTCCAGTGGGGACTCTGGTGAGTCACTCTTCGAAGTCAGCAGCTGTGACAATGGGCTACAGAGAGCTGGCTGGAGGGGAGCAGTGTTCATGCAGTCCTGGCAGGAGGTGACACTGGTGCAATCCAAAAACCAAAAAAAGACAATGGATGAAGTATCCCAAAAGGTACAATTTATTTTGAGTTGATGAGATTGGTATTCCCTTTTGAAGTTCAGAAGATACGGCTCAGAGGTGGGTCTTTGCTGCTGACCTTTATTGATTTCTATGCTAAGGGAGTGTTTTGATGAACCTCTGAAAATACTACCCAAAGAGAGAAGTTTGTGTAAACCATTTTTTTTTTTTTTTTTGCTTCTGGACAGTGGGATATCGTCACCCTGCAACCCCTTCTTACTTTTATTTGAGATTTTGGAGTGCACAAACCTATCCCAGTGTTTTCTGAGCTTCTGGGTCCGAAACTTGAGCTGCATTGTTGACTAGGTCAGATCTAGCTGCCTTAACCCCAGGCCATGGGCCCACCCTACATGTTGTATTTGTTCAGGATCTTGCTGGGTCACAATCCTGCTGACTCAGCCTCCCAATAGCTGGGACTACAGATGCCTGCCCCTGTGGCTGGCCCAGACCAGGACTGCCAGGTGGCCTCATTCCCAGGAGAGCTGAGGACCAGAGACCACTTTAAGCCACCAGTGATGACTCTGCAAGGCTGGCTTCCAACTTCAAAATTCTTTGTGCAATTGACATCTCAGTGGTTGTTAAGGGCTGAATGTTTGTGTACTCCCAGATTCTTGAGTTGAAACCCAAATCCACAGTGTGGTGGTATTTAGAAATGGGGTCTTTGAAATGGGAGAGTTACATGAGGCCACAGGGGTGGGGGTTAATAATGAGATTGGTTCCTTTACAAGAAGGTACAGCAGAGAGTTTTCCCTCCCCATCCTGTGACATAGGGATAAGGCAGCTGCTTGCAAGCCAGGAAGGCCTTCACCAGGTGACTGCTGGCCTTGACCAGGGTGTCCACCTCCAGGAGACAGCAAGATTGTGTGCCCCTCGGAGCCCAGTCTGCATCGCTCAGCCTGCAGTCTCAGTGGGGACATGGGTGATGTCTTGTATTGCCATCTCAATGGTGGGTGTGCCTGATAAGGGCAGGTTTTTGCTTTGTAGTGCTTTGAATGGTGCTTTACTATTATGGTGGGTGGGGTGGTGCACTGTTCACCAGCCCCTGTGGTAACGGTACTGCGTTCACATCAGCTGCCGCTGTGAAGCCCTGACTTCTGGCTTCCTGATGGGCTCTGAAAGGCCCTTCTACCGACTGGCCTGTAAACAGTTAAGTCACTGATGAAGAGTTGACTCAAACACAGCTGGTTTTTCAAAGTTCAGGGCTTTCTGTGGGGCTATTCCTTGTGTTCCTGCGGGCAGACACGTGCTCTGGTGAGAGGCCACTCCTCCTGTGGTGAATGGGACAGAAACGTTAGTCCAGAGCACGACTCCAGTCTGTGGAGCAGTAAGCTGAGCTGGAGCTAGGAGAGGGTAAGGAAGGGCTGGCCCTGGAGCAGAGGCCGTTCTTCCCGGTGGATGGGAAAGCAGGGAGGGCACTGCTGACTTCAGCCGGAGAGAGGTGGGTTTGGAACACATTTAACCGCGTGCAGATGAATCTGAAGCGTGTGCTCACCATCCACGCGGACCTCCCTACCTGTGCGTGCAGTGCTCCGACGTAGAGACTCAGAGGCAGGACTGCGGTGGGATGCCAGGCGCTGCCCCCGGGACTGGGGGCGTGTCTTCCAACACCTTTTGGCTGGAGTGAGCCTGCTAAGGGGGGTTGTGTGCATATGAAATAGCTAATGATGGGCGGGCAGGTGGTGTGGTGGTTGAGGGCACTGGATTCCACATGGCCGACTGTGGTTTGAGTCCTGAACCTGGGACTTGCTTTTTCACTTAACCTCTTTCTCTCACACTGTCTCTCCTGGTCAAATTAAATAAGTCAGTAAAGTTAAATAGTTATTTAAGAAAAATAGCTGCTTAGTAACCTTGCAACAAATCTTGCAGGAGTAAAAAAATAGTAAATTGTGTAGTAAGACCTTCCCGTTCTCACCGTTCTACTACTCAGCTCTTCCGGTGCTGCAAAAGGAACCACTCGGCCTCGCCCCACGTTCCAGCCTGCCTAGAACCAAAGCACACGAATAGCTTCACTGGACTGTGCTTCTTCCCTTCTTTCAGAATGGGGAAAGAGCTTCTGATGTTTCGCAGGCACGCCTGAGGACAGAACACGTTTAGGGCATCCTCCTGCAAAGGAAGAAGTATGTCTTCTTCCTCCTACAGCGAAGCCTTCCTCACCTCGGAAGCTCAGCTGAATCATTACTGCCTCCAGGAAGCCTTCCCTGACCTGCCCTAAGTCAAGAAACTCCCCTGCTGAGAATTTTGCTCATAACTGCATCTCACAAAAATGTTTTAAATTCCTACTAGGACTTTCTTCCCTGGTTCTTTTTTCTGGAGAATTTTAAGTCCCGAAAGAAGAGGAACATATGGCCCTATTCCAAGCTCTCTCTGCATGAGGACTATATATATATATATACACACACACATATATATAGGTCACCACAAGGAGGAGGGACCACTCCCCAAAGAGCTTTGTAAGCTGTGGTATAGTCAGGTTAGAAGCCATGGGAAAGGGTAAGGACAAAGGATGGCTTACACTCACGCGGGGCGCGTGTCATGTGTGCCCAAGATTCCAAGAGGAGAATGGATTGAGGCGTGGCCATCTCCCCTGGGGGGGGGAGTGATTTCTCACTTTCTGTCTCTCTGGGGAACCCATGCACCCTATAGCAAAAAAACTCTCCAAAATAAATAAATACATAAAATAAAAATAAAATAAAAATTCTGTATCTTGAGGCCAGTAGGTGGCATGGTGGTTGGGGCACTGGACTCCCAGTGGTTGACCACGGTTCCTGTCCCTGTACTGGCAGCTCGCTTTCTCAATTATCCTCTTACTCTCTCTGGCCAAATTGAATAATAGTAAATAAAATTAATTCTTTAAGAAAAAATTTAAATTCCGTATCTTAAAATAATTTTTTAAAAACATAGACTGCTGGGGTCAGCAGGTGGCAAGGTGGTTGAGGCTCTGGACTCGACATGGATGACCAGTTTGATTCCCAGACCTGGTGGCTTGCTTTCTTACTTTCCCTCTTTCTCTCTCTGTCTCTGATCAAATTAAGTAATAATAATAATAAATAAAATTCAATAAATAAATATTTTAAAATATAGACTGCTTCAAAACTGCATCATCCTTGTGTAGATACCTCACTGATGGCTGTGGTACTGGCCCATCAGTGCATGTGCTGACTAGGCCTTGTCGTTGCCTTGTTCTAAATATTTTATTTATTTGTTTGTTTTTAGGTTTTTGCTATAGGGGCATATGCATGCCTGAGAGACAGACAGGGAAAGTGAGAAATCACCCCCCAAGGGGATGTCCAGGCCCTAAATACTTTTTAATTAAAGAGTTAAATTTTAAGAGAATATTTATTTTGGGTGAAAAATTAATTCATCAAGCACCACAGGTAAATTTTATGTAAAAAAAACAAGTTATTTTTGCGAAGCGATCTCTTAATTGTCAATTAACAGCACAAAACAGATAAGGTTTAACAACAGAGCAACAGGTAATTGTAACTCCCTTTAATTTGAAACTAGTCAGCTCTAAATTATTCATGCTAGCCGAAGAACAGATACATGCACAGACTGAAACGATGAATAACCCAGATCATTCTGACTTCGGTTTGGACTGGGCTTTTTAGTTTTCATTTAAGCAGTATCTCTGAAATCTAAGCATTTACTTAAAGCTACCCCACAGGAAAGGGACAATCCATGCTTCAAATCTTGCCACTCATCCTGTTGTTAACTGTAGCACATTTTGGCCAATATCAAGGCTTAACATACAATAATTTATACCTGTGCACTTTTCTATAGCGTTTGACCTTCCTATATAAACAAACAAGTATGAATAGTTTTTTATTAAGTATATATCTTATTATTTTTAAAATTTGGCCAGAGAGGAAGCAATCTACCAGCTCCCTGACTCAAATTAGTCAACCCTGCGGAAGCCCAGTGCCTTGACCACCATGCCGCTGGCTGGCCCCTAAGCTTTATTATTTTTATAGCAATATAATATTTCTATTTGGGGGCCGGCAGGTAGCATGGTGGTCGAGGGTGCTGGACTCCCACATGGCTGACTGCAGTTTGAATCCCAGACCTGGCGGCTTGCTTTCTCGTTCTTTCTCTCTCTCATATTCTATCCCTCTCTGGTCAAATTAAAATAAATAAATATTAAAGTTCAATAACAATTCTTAAAAAATATATTTCTATTTGGAAAACAAAAAAGTTGACGTACCCTCTCTCATATCTTCCTGGAGAAGGCTTGGGTAAAATAACTGTGTAAAGATTTTCTCTGTGATATGAAATATATTTTAAAAAGAGTACTAGGAAGAACCAGAGAGCAGTAAAACATTAATAGACCAGTACAGCCTAAGTACTATCATTCAGGTTTGCAATATCAACACTACAGACAAGGACTATTTCCTGAAGTATCTGTACAAAGCACTGAAATGAACAGCAACTTCAGTAACCAAGGTAGAGCAGAACAAGGATGTTGCATGAATGTTAAGGTGTATTTTGGTGAGATAATTGATTTCATTAATGTAGGGAACAGCCAGATCTGGACAAGGCACTAGTGACCTTCAAGTAAATAGGTCTTGTGCTGAGCTGCAGGGCAGGTGACAGCTCTAGCACTGGCACAACCCGCTGTTGCTCTGCAGGGCAGCGTTAATCAAGGGAAGCTGTTGTCAGCCAGAGGCCAGGAGAGACTTGTCTAGAACCACAGGACGCAAGATATAGCTGCAGTCGACAACAGAAAATACCTGGCTCTCCCTTTCGTTGCCCCCCAGTCGCTCTACCTAGGACCGGCTCAGAGCCGTGGGGATCTCCACTGATGATGCCGGGACCACCCGATCCCTGCTTTCCTCTACATGTGTGTCTGTCTGTTCTTTCTGCACCCACCGTCATTCCCACTTGAGGTCCACATCCATGCCTCATTGGCCGAGGCATGTTACAGATCTTCTGACTGTGTAAGGAGATGAAGTCAGTGCTCACACTCCAAGCTAATTACAAGAGAGCAAATATCTGACAATATCTCCACTCGAAATAATTTTTAGAAAATATTATGAAGGTTAATCTTACTTGGAAAATCAAAGGACCAGTTGGGACAAACTTTTGAAAAAATTTCTACCATAGGGTGTGTGCGCTCACTAGAGACAGAGAGGAAAAGTGAGAAGTCACCCCCAGGGGGATGGCCATACAGCAGTCCCCTCTCCTCAGTCCTCTTGGAATTTTGAATATGCATACACAAGCACCTGGATGTTTTTCAAGCTGCCAGGTGCAGGACTCAAACCATGTAATTAGCCATGTGCGATCCAGTGCTTTAGCTACCACACCACCTGCTGGCTTTAGGACAAACTTTTAAAAAGCCTATTTAATAGTTTATAGAGATAATGTATCTTGATGTTATCAATTACTTCTAGCTATGCACTATTTTCAAATAAACAAAATTAGATGTAACAGTGGATTATAATTTTTTATAGGCAGAAAAATGCTAAAAGTCATAAATGAAGACAGAAACTCTTAAATATGGTCAGCTAAGGCTGCTTTACACATCAAATACTGACCTGACAAACACCATCGGAGAAAACTGAAGGTAGGCCCTGCACCACTTGTCACTAAAAACTTGGATAATTGATAATATGATACGCGATGTGTCGGGAACCTGTAACATGATGATGCTACTGGCCACGAAATACCTCTGTTTTTACTTAACAAAGAAAACAATCCATTTTGATTTTATTGTTTAAAAAAAAGTTTTCAGTTTAATGATCTGAGTTAGTAACAAATATACAAAATTGTCTTTCACATTTCCATACATTGTATTATGGACCAATTGAAAACTCTGGATGACAAATGCAGGTTGCTTTGTATCCTTAACTTCAATTGTTGTCACATAAAGATTTGTGAAGACATGCACCTGTGCACACGGCGCCCGGGGCTGTCCTCGTGCTGCAGACGCCGTGCATCTGTGCAGGTACGTGTCAAGTGCAGCTGACGCAGAGGCCATTACCCTGGGATACTTCACCCTATTGGAAAAGCACTTTTTGGAAAGAGATGGAAATACAGTTTGAAACAAAATGCAATATTCTACAAATACGATAAACTCACACATCTGGACAACTCTGAGGAAAGCTGCGTCAACCCTGCCACTCTAATGCTCAGGTGTGACCCCACGGCCATGGCTGGAAGACAGCTACTTTGAAGGAAATAAATATCTGTATTAAAAGGAAATGGCACCTTAAAAAATGCAATGAAAGCTTTGAAAAGAGTTCTAATGTATGAGGCTACCTATGTTTTCGTTTTTTTAAGTTGTAGAAATTTTTAAAAATTTTGAATTTTCAAAGTAACCCCCCAATTTTTAAGCCATTTTAAAATAAGATTTTTTTCCATATTATCAAGTTTCCTGTTTGAAAGTGTAATAGAAAAATGGGCAGTTTCTAATGTCAACAAATGGTGATAATTATAAATCATTACAAATTCATGATCAAGTAATTGGAAATTGGTTATGACGAGGATGACAGACACAGAATTGGCAAACACAAATAGGAGGCCTCTTCTCGACCACTCATCTGGACTAGTAACAAACACCCACACGGGTGACTTTTTACATTAAATTACTTCTAGATTTCAAGAGATAAGAAAAATCCAACTTTTCTTTAAAAATGGTTTCCTGGGTTGTGACATGTGCTTTATCTGTAATCTACCTACGAGCTCAGGTTACCTCTGCACCATAAACTCCAACTCTGACAAGGAGTGTCCATCTGGCCCGCTAGGTTTGTGTTTGCCTTCTGCAGACAAGCGTGCGTCCGCTGTTCCAAGGCCCCCTCTTCCCTGAGGCCCGAGGCTGCCATTCCCCACTCTGCTGCATGGGTAATGGGGAGAGACAGGTGGACCGCAGGTGCTCTGGGAGGCTGTGGCAGTCTGGCCTCCATACTGTGGCCACTCCACTGCAGACAGTGGGGCAGGGGCAGCTGCTCTGAAGGAAACGGGCCGTTCTGTGGGAAACACCTTTGATTTCCAGGGGCTTATCACAAAGAGGTGCAGCGGTTTCCCACAGCTTCCTCCAGGGCTGCCTAGTGCCGAGGCAGCCTGCAAAGATGCCCACCGCCAGCCCAGGGGCGGAGGCCGGGAGGGCAAAATGAAGATGTGTATCTGGGAACTACATTGTCCTGCACTTTGGGAACAAAAGATGCTGCCTCTGTCCAGAGTTGATAGTATCAGAAAGAACATGGCTGTGTCCAACCTCTCCACATGCAGGTCACATGTGGCTCCCAGTGGCGACGCCCTGCAGCTCTCCTGGGAGATGGGCAAAGCCAATCTAACAGGTTACTTCTGTTTGAAAATAAGCTGCCCAAATAGTTCAAAAAACCTTCCAGAAATGGAACATTTCACGCTTGAAAGAGACTTCTATTAATAAGTACCTCATCTAAAGGCAGGTAGGTATTAGGGATTATTGCTTTTCATAAGATAACCATAGAATAAATACATAAGCTTAAACCAGATACTTGTTTTTTTCACCCAGTGCTACAAGGCTTTATTCTCAAATCCAGTCACATGTTACCTCTGATTCTCTGCCAGTTTACTGAGGTTTTAGTACAGAAATAGAAGAAGTTGGCCTTGTTAACATAGAATCTAGACGACGGGATGGCGCTGTCCACACACGCGTGGATCTGGGCCTGAGCAGTGACCTGCTCTGACGGGGCTTAAGGCACTACGTGGTGGGAAAATCGGCCAAAGCACGATGATTAACATCTTTGAATCCTACAAAAGGAGCGAGTTTAGAACGACACTAGTCTTTTTCTCGAACAAATAAGGCATCCTGTTGGCAAACACAAATAACCACCAGGTCACGTTAACCTAATACATTCGCTGTCTCGCTAAGCTACTTGCGACGCCGGTCCCCACCTGGGAGCGAGCTACGGCGGCGTGTGAAGCATGGGAAGGCACCAACAGCAGAGCGCCGCCACTTCCAGTCCCAGGACAGGCCTGTGCCTGACACTGCTCAGAGTCTAATTGCCAGTGTAGTTGTCAAAGCGTATAATGGAGTTAGATTTTTACTTCGAAAGTCAGTTCATCAAGTGCTAGTTTAGTAGGAAATTACTTTTCTCCCTTAGAAAGTCAAGCAGTGTCTAACACAAGCCCACTCCCGAAGATCCGCTAACTCTCGTACTGGAGGGTACCCTAGATAACACTGGAGCAATTCTGTAGAACACAAACATTACCTTGAGACAGGATTCATAATCGAAAGTCAACACGTAACTAAATAAGATTTACTGAAAATAATGAGAACTGTAGTACAGGTGTATCAAACATAATTGTAACCACAACATTTTCCTTGTGAAAAATAACAACTATTAGCGAATGAAATGTACAATGGAAATTTTCCAAAGGGAAAAACACAGAATAAACAAAAATACTTTTCTTCGGGATAGGGAAAAATAGTTGTCACTGTTTTTCACCACGATATAATTTGACACAAAAAGCAGTCAAAGAATTGCACCGAGTCCATGTCCAGCTTCCTGGACATGTTAGGGGTAAGTTGAGTCCGCAAAGCAGAGTGCAGTTTCTGCATTTTACTTCCCGTTGCTCATTTCCTCACACAGACCTGTTCGTGTAACGTACGACACTTGGGGTCTGTGGCCAAGGTGAACACAAGCACTGCCACTGCACTCTCATCCTGGTGTTTAGCCAGAGTCCAAAAAATCTTCAAGTTACTGAAGTATTATTTCTCTAGCAATAAAGAAAAATGATATTTAGTGCATGCTTCATCGTTTGTCAAAAAACTTTCTGAAAATTACTCAGTTACCTAATGGTTTACAAAATAGAAAAATCATTCATTAGGATAAAAACGTGGTGGGATCTATCCAGGTCCACCCCACAGGACTGACTCGGGCGGCACTGCTGTCCCTCGGCAGAGGCCCTGAGAAGTTTCCTGACGGGGTGGGTGCTGGGGGAGGCCCCTGCAGACACAGATCCTCTCTGGCCACCCCTCCGCCTTCCCATAGTGCGATAAACAAGATGGGGCTTCCGTGGGAGTGTTAGGAGCATTTCTGCTGCACGTGATTTAGAAGTTCTCCGAATTTCTCAAATAGGTCTTCTACCCATTTGACATTTTTCATACAAAGTTGAACAATTTCTTCCTGTCCTAAATCTTCATTTTTTTTCTGCACAGAAGAAATCTAAAAATAAAGAAAATTACTACATTAGTTTACATGGGTATCACTTTATATTTAAGCTCTTGAAAAGGTTATTCTTCCTACATTGTGAATGAAAAGAGGATTTTTATTTATTTATTTATTGAAGAGGTTTTTGCTATAGGGTGCGCACTCACCAGAGAGACAGAGACTGAAAGCAAGAAATCACCCCCTAGGGGGGATGGCCACACCGCAATCCCTTCTCATGTGCCCAGTGTGAGTTTACACCACCGGGTTCGGGAATGGAGCCGAGAGTCCAGCAACGTAGCCATTACACCAACTGCTGGTACCTAATTTTTTTTAAAGATTTTGCCACAGGGTGCGTGTGCTCGCCAGAGAGAAAAGACAGAAAGTGAGAAATCATCCCCCAGGGTAGATGACCATACTACAACCCCTTCTCCTTCATTCTCTGGGGATTTTGGACATGCACGCACAAGTGCCTGGTGAGAGCTTAAAGCTGTCAGGTGCAGGACTCGAACCACAATTGGCAATGTGGGAGTCCAGCACCTTAACCACTATACTACCTCCTAACCCCAAAAAAGGACTTACTAATTCACAGACATATACTGCTTACTTTTTCTCCCTTAATGCTATCCATGGAAAATAGTTATTTCAGATAAATCTGGGTTAGGTCTAATCCTACCTTCTTTGGCTCAATGTGGGGCAGAGAGGAAGGCTAGAAGAAGCACCTCTAGCATGCTCAAGGCCTTCCAGTTCCGATAAAAACCCAGTAGTGAGCTGTGGGGTCAGCTCTGCACGTTAGAATGCTGGGACAGTGGTCGATGCACTCTGGTTTGCTAGATGGAGGTTAGCTTTGAACATTTTTCCATACTAGACAGTCATCTGACACGTCAGGGACAGGCTTGGGTCAGATTAACCCTCCTTAATTAAACTGATGGCGCTGGGTGAAGCAGGCAAAAGTTCTTGCATAGCCGTTAGCTGCCGACAGAAATGAACCCTTGTCTCACATCCTCAGGTGGGACTGCTACCAGACACCACTTCTGAACAACTTTAACTGATGCTTAGAAGGTACGATTAAATTTTAACTTTCATCTTTTTTCCACGCCACAGAACAAAACCCCATTTTCCTGCCATTAGGTGGGATAAGGCCACCCTAGTGAGACAAAAGATGGTACCACAGCAGGACCTAGCACGGGTTACAGCGGGGTCCTGACAGTGACACACAGCAGGTACTGGGCTACAGGGAGTGCGCCACCAGCCCCAGGATGTCCCAGGAGCACTCTGGGGCCAGGCTGGTCTGAGCCCAGGATGGCAGAGGCTTGGACAACCGTCCAGGCGGCTCTCATTTAAGGGGAGAGGAGACACAGGCACACACACGTTTAACAACCATGACAAACACACCGCAGCTACCGCCTCCTTACAATTCAGAAAAATTGACATTTGAAAAAAAAAGAAAGACAAGTAATTACCTCATCCTTACATATCAGATATACATGGTATTTATAATGATGGAGTGAATGATACAAAGAATACAACTGTATTTTCTCTGGATCGACAGCAAACTCCTATAAAGAGAAAAAAGTTTATAGATATATTTCATAGAGCATCTAAGAACACTTTTTGCAAAATACAAGATCGAAGTCTTGACGACAATCTTGAAAATGAGTTAGATGGCCAGGCATTAGGTTATATTAATGTGGACAGACTTATTAGAAATAACGGAAATTGTATCTTTAAGTTAACTTTCTTTGAATATAAATATGTACTATTTGAAAAAATGTAAAATTAAAGAAAATTTAAATAATATTCACATAGGACAACTTATAAAGTAAAAGTTTCCTCCAACCTCTCACTTCAGAGATAAATTCTGCTAATACCAAGAGTGTTACACACTTTCATTTTCCCGAGGTGTGGCACACGGATTATCAACACCGACTGTGTGACGGAGGGAAGGGAATGAGGCATACATTCTGTCCTGGACCGCTCCTTCACACTGACAGAATAAATCTCCACTCTTCTTCCTGGGAAGCACATAGTACCACACTGTCTGCTGGCTCTTCATCCAGTCCAAGATGGTGGAACTGGACCACTTTACAGGTAATTACACGGGGCAAAGTCATGCATTTTTCTCACACAGGAATGTGTTTCTGTAGAGCATGTGTTTCTGTGGTGTATGTGGAGGAAGCCTGGCAGTGTCTCACTGTGTCGCGATCTTCTTGTCTCAGCCTCCCCAGTTACAGGTGCACGCCACCACTCTTGGCTTGCGGGACCTCTATACAGAGTGGGTGTCCTGCCAAACTATGAGGAAACAGCTCACACTGTGCTGGGAGATGACCCAGCTCCAATGTTAATCCCTGCAGATACGAAATCAGTATTAAATCTTTCAGGGGATGTGTGTACTCACTGATCTGTAGGCACGTGGACCCAATGACACAGAAAGGCTAGCACCAACCATGCATGCTAGTTAGCCTGACTTAGCCATTCCACAATGTGTATATATTTTTAAACAGGTCTCAGGAAAAACATTCGCTTAATCTGTCAATTAAAGCAAACATACAAACACAGTGTGGGGTGACTCCTTTCTCATCAGCTTATTTAAATGTTTCTGAGGCCCAGCTACAGTGGCTGAGGTGGCAGGGGGTACCACTTCACTACCAGAGCCACACGGAAAGGCCTGGGGTTTTGGTTCTGGGTCAGCAGAGCACTCTGGACACCATCCTGGCTGGGTAGAAGCCAGGGAGGATGGTAACATGGCTACATTTATTGGAGGTCTGCCTGTCTACATGAAGGAACCTAAAAGTCTGGGCGACCCTGTAGGGCAGCAGGTAAGTGCCAAAGCTGGATTCCACATGGCTGAAGGTCGTTCAAGGACTGCCCCACCTGGGGACGAAGAACACCCCAGGCGTATGTGCACACATGCCCCAAATCCTGAGGAGATGGAGAATGGAGGAGAAAAGGACTGTGGTGTGAACACGTCCCACTAAGGGGGTGCTTTCTATTTCTCTGGAGAGGTCACGCACCCTCTGGTTAAAAACAAAATGTGAGCACTTGTTATGTACAAAACACTGTGCTAGGAATGCAAGGAAACCAACACTGAGTGCTTGCTCCTTGGGCCAGAGCTGCTATCCCTGCCTGAAGCAACCGAGGAAAACCCTCCGCCCGTCCTGTGGGCTGCACGGAGGCTGCAGCTCATGGAAAGCATGGTCACCCACCAAAACTTACATGAACAGACTTGGCGGTGGTCTTAGAAGTCCGCAGTGTTTTCTTGTTATATGCTTTGCCATTCATTTTGATTTTAGAAACAGCAGATCCTCCACTTTTTGCTTTAGAGTCTCGAGTAATTATTGTTAGTTCAGGAAAACTTTCCAAAGCATTCTTTAAAACAACAAAGCAAAGTAATTGGCATGAGAAGGAAATGAAGCTCAACTACTAGCAATTCAAAAATTTTTAAAAAATAATTATTTTATATTATTTATTCATTCATTTATTTTGACCAGAGAGAGACACACAGAGAGAGAGGGAGAAAGTGAGAAAGCAAGCCACCAGGTCCAGGACTCGAATCATGGTCAGCCATGTGGGAGTGTCCAGCACCATAACTACCACGCCACCTGCTGGTCCCACTAGCAATTCAAAATTTAAACATGGACACACACGTGGGAGGGCACTGCTGGGATGTCACTACACGTGCACACGCATACACAAACACGAGTGCGGGCAGACGTGGTCGCCAGCTCACGCCCTGTGCCATCAGACGTCACCCAGTCATGGCCCTAGTTCCCCACCTCTTGAATCTGGACCAAGTTTAACACCCATGTGCATAAGCACCACAACCCAGGAGGGACCCTGCACCAGGCAGAGAAGAAGGGTGTACGCAAGTGTGTCAAAAGCTCGACCACGGGGAACCAGCAGTTAGCGTAATGGCTATGTCGCTGGATTCCCACGTAGTCAACCGCGGTTCGTGTCCCGGACCTGGTGGCTTAAAAACCCCACAACTGGCGCGTGTGCGTGCGTGCCCAAGATCCCGAGAGGAGAATGGAGAGGGGATTGCGGCGTGACCATCCCCCCTAGGGGGTGATTTCTCGCTTTCTGTCTCTATGTCTCTCTCTGTCTGTCTGGCGAGTGCACGTGCCCTACAGTGAAAATCTCTCTCAAAAAAAAAAAAAAAAAAAAAGCTCGACCACGTCCATGGCTGCTCACATCCTGGACCGTGGCCAGGCCCTGACATGAAGAAGCACCAGGTCTCGGTGGAGAGTATGAGCATTGTACGCCTTTTGGCTTCACTACTTATTTATTTATTTGGCTTCTTTTGACTCAAAAAGCACTTGTGAGATGAGATCGTAAAATGGAGTTTGGGGGACCAGCAGTTGGCATAATGGCTATGTCACTGGACTCGCTGGACCCATGTAGTTGACCACCGTTTGAGTCTCAGACCTGATGGCTTAAACTCATTTAATAAGTTCCACTGTTTTATCAACACTTAGAACCTTCAAGGCCTTTCTCCTTCAAATTCAGACAGTTTAAAAGTACCTTATCCGAGACCTCCGCAGTTGTATTTGAACCAGAACTTTTAGACAGGTCTCTGCGGAGTTGAGAGCCTCTTGCTTGGGGCGCCCCTGCAGGATGGCAGGCACGTGTTGCCACACCAGCGCTTTCAGGCAGGTCTCGCAAAGTGGCTCAGGCTGGTCTCGAGTTTGCAGTCCCCCTGCCTAAGCCACCCATGTCACTGGGATTTTAGGCACACACCATACCAGCCCTTAGGTGAAACTGGCATTGAACCTGGGCCCCTGCCTGTGGACCTGTGTCACAGCAGGGCACGCCATGGTGGTGGGTCAAATAGTACATTTTTGAAACACAGGAGACAGAAGAGAGAAAGTGAGAAAGCATCCCCATGGGGGACAATAACACCCAATTCCTTTTCACTTCTCCTTTTGGGATCTCTGGGGCTTGCGTGCATGTGTATGCACATGCTAGCATGTTTCAAGCAGTCGGGTCTGGGACTCCGAACAGTGCAGTGGCCATGTAGGACCCTGCCACCTTAACCAGCCTGCCACAGCTGGCACTGAACATGGTCATCTACAGGCAGAACTTTAGGGAATAACTTTCACATACTTTCCCTCCTATTATTAAAAAGTATGACGCTATGAGTTTCACAAATTTTCTCAAAAGCAAATACCTTGAACGATTGATCCAGGTGAAGATTCAGAAGGAGTCTCTTCCGGGTATCATTTAGCATGCCATCAATTTTTTTCATATGAGGTAAAAGCAGCTCATCTGAAACAACATTATACTTTATTTTAATTGATAAGTTATGGACATAATTTTATCAAAACATTTATGTATTAAAAGACATGCATGTACTGGCTTATGAAAAATACTGCCAGCAAGAAACCGGCCGTGATGCGCTCTGAACAGGCTAGCTTGAAAAGCAGGTTATGACACAGAGTGAGAAAGAGGTAGCCCAGCGCCATGCGGTACGTGCTCTGCCCTGCTGTAAACAGTCTTGGGTGGTAGGGGCCAAATGCTGGCACATTGGTAGCAACCAGTCCATGTGGAAAGGTCTCAGATTCTTGGCCGTTCCCCGCACACCCAGCACACAGGCCCACGGGCCAGGCTGGATGGGGCTGGGGGTGGATCATGGCACGAGGGCCCTGTCTAGGTGCCTCCCTCTCCTTCTCCTCTCTTATGGAAGAAATAAGTAACAACCACAGTAATGACAGAGCTGGCCTCCAAGCTAGTGATGAAGAGAGTCAGATCCTCTATGGCCGTGGTTCAAGTCCTGGCCTGGAGGTTTGGGAAGCATGCTGGGTATGGAGCATGGCACCCTAAATCCCACAGCACGGAACAACAGAGGAGAAGGGACTCACTGAGGATACAAATACACAAACTTAACCTTTAACAATTATTATCCACTTCATTTTTCCAATCGTTAGAAAAGGGGATATCCTGACATACAGACCTTCCATGTAGTACATACACTTAGCGACACACTATGAGGATGGCATACTTATAGAACTATCAATTTAAAAAGCTGGTTGGGGTGCTGGACTCCCACATGGACGACCATGGTTTGAGTCTAAGACCTGGTGGCTTGCTTTCTCACTCCCTTCATCCCATATATCTCTGATCAAAACTGGACAATACTATATAATAAAGTTAAGTAAAAACAATTTTTTTAAAAAAGCATGCTGTGTCATAGTTACGTAATTTGTATTTGTATTTATTTCTCTCATGAGAAAGCAATAAAAATACATTAAATACAAAGTTGTTGAAACATTCAGATAATGCATAAAAAGATATGACCATTTCACAGAGCTAAGAACTTGGACATCTGGGGGCCAGGAGGTGGCATGGTTGAGGCCCTGACTCCTACATGGCTGACTGCAGTTTGGGGCCTGGATCTGGTGGCTTGCTTTCCTACTCTCCTTCTCTTGTTCTTTCTGTCTCTCTCTGGTAAGCGCACGTGCCCTATGGCAAATTAAACAATAATAAATAAATAAATAAATGATTCTAAAAAATAGAATGATCCTGCACATTTGGCTGACGCTCCGTGGGCATGAACTACATGGAGCACGCGTAACAGCGGCCATGGCGGGATGGTATACCATTGCTCTTCTCCAGGGCCTGCATCGTGTCGGGGTCCAGGGCGATGCTCACAAGCAGCTCCATGTAGCTCCTGAAGGTCTCCTTCATCGCCCTCGTGTTCAGAAAGCGAGTGACAAAGGGAGCCGGGGGATCGAATTCTGGAAGGAAGAAAAGATGGAACATGACATTCTCCTCCCTAAACCTGGGAAACACTTCTTCCCCTTACAAGAGCCAGTAAGCAGGTGACAGTTTGTACAAGTCAAACTCAAGGCTTTCTCAGTCCTGCCCTCTACAAACAGCCTGTGTGAGAATCCTCAGGGCTGATTGGTGCATCAACACGGGAGAGCTTTCAAACGTGCACGACAGCGGGCTGCTGCAAGAATGACGACGGGACTGCAGCAGCGGTCGCCCCAGGCAGGCGGTAGTGGGCTGGGCAGCTGGGCAGCGGGGGGGGGGGGGGGAGGCTTAAACATCACACTTATATAAGAGCTGCCTGGGTGATGCTGAAGCTGCACCCAGCCCAGCACCTGGGAGCGCAGGTCGGCTAGGGACCTTGTTCTTGTCCTGGTCCCGCCACAGGTGTCTGCGCTAGGTCAGCCTCTCTAGCCCTGAGGGTCTCTCCGTGCACAGGCATGAGATGGACACTGCAGGGGTTAATACAGGCAGCTCTCCACGTGGCCTCCTGGGGCCGGCAGGGGCATACCGGCTGAGGTGCAGGATTCCATGTGGCCTCCGCAGTTCAAGTTCTGGACCTGGTGGCTGGCTCTCTCTCTTGCTCGCTCTCTGTCGCCCTCTGGTGAGCACACAGGCCCTACAGCAAATTAAAAAATAATTGTGATAATAAAGAATAAAATTAAATTCTTGTAAAAAGTTAACTTTTTAAAATTTCTTAATTTATTATAAAATTTGTGTCTAGGACGTGTTCAAAACATTAAAAAATGTCTAATAATGGAAGAAATGTCATTCGAATTCAGTGATAAGAATTAAACCATGAGGAGGTGGCAGGGGGCGTGAGTTTAAGACACTGGGCTCTCCCACATGCCTGACTATGGCTGGAGTCTTGGGCTTGGCAACTTGCTTTCTTACCCCGCCCCCCTGTCTCTTGCTAGTCAAATTAAAAAATAATAAAATTAAATAATTCTTTTTTTTAAAGAATTATTTAACTTTATTTACTTATTTAAATTTGACCGGGGGGAGGGGGAGAAAAGAGAGAGAAAGCCTCCAGGTCCAGGACTCGAACCATAGCCATGTGGGAGTTCAGTGCCATTCACTACCACACCACCTTTTCTTCCTTCCTGACCTCTCTTGAAATGGAAATAATTTGGGAGTATTCTTATTGTGGCAGAGAAGTAATTTGCATAAGTTCAATAGTGCTTGTTGCATTGAACCAGAAATAGGAAATACTCATCATTGGATAGGGAATGTCATACCTGAAGATTAATCAGAAAACTATGGAACTAAGGTGGGTCTCAAGTAAGCCAACAGAAGCTCTTAGAAAGATGGCCTGGCACCATAAGTAGTTTTGCCTGGCAAAGGATTAGAAAAGATAATATGAAATAATTTATAACATAAAAGAAACTGGACTTTTCCAGCCCAGCATTGTAATCAGTAGAGATTACAAAAGAGCAACCACACCAGAGGATTATTTTGAGAAAGACTTTGAAGGAAGAAAAAGAGACTGATCTTTGCTCAAAGCAGATGGTCTATCACAGAATACTTGGTAGGCAGGGCTGAATTGAGAAGGTTTATGTGTGACTAGTGTGCTAGGCATTTGCTTTTCAATGATTTGAATAGTTGACATATAAATATTTTCTCAAAAATATTTAAAACCATACTGTCTCTGTTGAGTCACAAAATCATAAAAAATATTTTGAACACTATCTTTAAAATTCAGTATTCTGAAAATTTGAAAGTTGTTTATTAACTGTCAAGAACTATGGATTATGAACAAAATTTTTTTTATATGTAAAGTAAATGTTTGTGGGAAAATGTAGAAATAAATAAATGGAAAAAAGGAAAAAAAAAAAAAAGAAAACCATGCATGAATGAGGAGACATTCAAGACAAATGGATAGATGTTTAATGTGAACAGAGCACAGAAATTTAAGGAACAATCACTTGTCAAGTTTTTGGTATCAAACAAAAGTATCTGTAATTGGGTGGACCCTGTGAGTTAGTATTTAAGGGAGCTGGACCCCACATGGCCAATAGCATGGTTTGAGCCCTGGACCTGGCAGCTTGAAAAACATACCAGGTATGTGTGTGCACATGCTCCGAATCCCAGCAGGACGGAGAAATGCAGGAGAGGGACTGCTAGACAATAAATCTGTTTAGTGCCAAGTCTTGCCTCCCTGGCACATTTAAAATGCTTAACTACTAGTGACACCTAGTGGCCACTTGAATCACCAACCCCAATGGAAGAACACTTCATCCTCACCATCACTTGAGAAGACTCATCTGAGCAGAAGGGAGGAGTGCTAACTTTGACCACTCTGTAAAACGCCTTCCATGTATACTCAAAGCACTGAAGTTCCCCATACATTGTGACTACATCTAAACCACCACTCACAAAGAGTTTTTGAAAATAGTACGCTTAAATTTTGGAACTGAAAATTTTTTATTCTGACCCTATTTCTGGCCAAATAATCCCTCAGATAATTTCTTAACCAACAATACTTGGGTTGTCAGAAGCCATTTTGGATACCCCTCAACTGTCCCTCAAACAACCTGTCTGGGGGCCAGCAGGTGGCGTGGTGGCTAAGGCACTGGACACTCCCACGTGGCAGACCATGTCAAGTCCAGACCTGGTAGCTTGCTCACTTTCCTCCTCTCTCTGTGTGTGTTTCTCTCTAGTGAAATGAAAATATTAAATAAATTAAAAAAAAAAAAAAACCTGTCTGTTATTTCAGTCCTACAAGATGACATTCTGAATTTCTCAGATCTGTCCCCCTCCTCTCCATCTCTGTTGCCAAGACTCAGGTTTGGGTGCGGTCTACCCCTGAGCCATGTCTTCTAATTCAGACTTGAGCTTCACCATGTCACTCCCCTAGTTAAGTCCCTCCAAAGATCCTCCTTTGCTCACAGGAGCCTAAGTTCTCAGCCTGAGCAGGGTATCTGCAGCCTTCCACTATTCCTTCATCATTTCTGTCATGCTCTAGAAGACAGAGTCAGTACATTTTCTGTAAAGGGCCATAAGGCTTTAAAAATATACATATGTAGTATATATATTATATATACATATAAATAACTGTTTGTTTCCTGAGAGGCAGGGGAGCCTCACGCTCTGGCCTGCCCTGGATCACAGACATGCAGGTGCCCGGATGCTCACGGAAGTCTCCAGACACAAACATGGACCGTCAGCCTTCACAGCGCACTGTGACCCCAGAGCTACTGCTGACTCCCAGTACAGGACTGCAGCTTCTCAGATCCACTACTGTGCAGGAACAGGCTGAAGTGCCCACACTGGACTACCCTGAACGGACCCATCTTGCCTTGTCGCACACACTAAGCAGGGCCAGGCCTGGCTGGTACTTGGGTGACAATTACATAGATGAGTCCGCAGGGCTGTCTTCCAATAAAACTGTTCATGAAAACGGGGTAGGGTCAGAATTGGCCCATAGGCCAGGTCTGCCAACCTCTGCACAGAGGGGGACAGAACTGCCTGGAGTACCCTGCTAAGCCTCGCTGGTAACGGTGCGTGCTGGTGTTCTCGTGTGTGCTACAAAGACCTGTTTTCATTTCTAATTGGTAAATATCAATAGACAGAACCTCGTAAGTGCTGCGTAGGACCTGCGACAGCTTTTAGGAGTGTAGAAGGGACCTGAGGTCAGAATGTTTGCTAAACGCTGATTATTTTGAGTTTTTCATTTTGTAAGAGAGTGAAAGCACAGAAGCATACCTCCCTTACTCATGGGGACACCGTTGCTAATGGCAGATACAGAGCGTATGCACTCTCAGCACACGGTACACATCTACAAGTAGGGTATATTAGATACTTCAATGTGTGGTACTAATTCCAGCTTGAGTTGCTGCTGCCCAGACTGTTTAATTCTTCCTTCGAGCATAAACACAAACTCCGAAATTTCGAACTTGAGGATTCTCAGCAACCCTGTGAGCTAACTCCGGCCCTATCAGGCGAGACCAACAGCACCGCTAGGGCTGGAACTTGAAGGTGCGCTCTGCCTCCCCATCCTACCAGGCTGTGGGTGTGGGTCAGCTGTGTGTCAACCACGAGGTCAAGCAATGTGAGCGCTTTGTATAGAGGTCTAGGAACAGAAGTACCCAAAAGGAAGACAAATCCTCCCCAAGGAAGTAACCATGACTGCCGGCACACAGCTCCTCTCCACAGCTGCTCGTCAGGAACTCACCCTCCTCATCACTACTGCTGGAATGGACCTCGGGCGACGAGTCTGACTGGGAGGAAGAAAACTCCTCTTTCCACTTCTTCCGCTTCTTTGGTGGCGGCTCGGCCCTTACTTTCAGCTGTTTGACTTTGGGCTTTGTGGAAGGGGCTTTCGTGGTTGTAGTTTTTGATGCTGGAGGATCAGAAGCTTTACTGCCGCTACTAGGCTTCGCCTGAACAGGTCTGTAATGTTACAAACAAACTTAATTAACACTGAAATCTTGCCAAGTGAAAATAACCTAGGAAAAACTGAGAGCCACAGGATTAGAAAAGATTAACAGCCCTCACCAAATAAAGCCCGAGTTCTACACAACTCAGTGGAGACTCCTCTGGGACTTCTCTGTGATGCATTCTTCAACCACAAGCATTCATTACTCAGTCATTAAAGGACTATCACGTCAATCTCTTTTCTCTCTTCATTCCTCCTCTTCCTTTATAGACTTATTTTCCCGAGTATGTGGCTGCTTAACACACGATCAGGAGGCTTTAAAAAACCATGCATGGGGACCAGTGGATAGTGTAATAGCTATGTCCCTGGATTCCCACATAGTTGAGTATGTTTTGAGTCCTGGATCTGGAGGCTTAAAACTCACACTGGAGCATGTGCATGCATGCACAAGACCCTGAGAGGAGAATGGAGAAGAAGGGATTGCTGTGTGGCCATCTCCCTTGGGGGTGATTTCTCACTTTCTGTCTCTGTTTCTCCAGGGAAGGCATGTGCCCTATAGCAAAAAAATCTCTCTCTCTCTCTCTAAAAAATAAATAAATAAATAAATAAACAAACCCCACAAAACCACTCATTATAAAGCTTCTGCAGCCACAGCTCACTCTGACCCTCACCAACTCTCACAGGCCCCGGTGGGGCCAGGCTTCAATGCAGAAACCAAATGCACCTGCTCTATAGCCCCAAGACTTCTGCTGGGTCTCGAAATCTGAACAGGCAGAATGCCATGGGAAGTATCTGGCAAGCTGCCCACCAAGTGGGGACCTCACTCAAGCTGGATGTGTGTGACCCAGGACTGAGAACCTCTGGGGTCACACCTGCTTTCCAGCACAGGTCAGCCCTCTTGCAGATTCAAGCTCTGGATAGCCAGCGTTGTCACACGAGTCTGTGATGTTAAGCCCACTGGACATTCATCTAGGGACATACAGGTTCCAGTCTTTTGTCAAAATTATCTCATTTTAGAATCAATACTTTGTTATTATTTTCATTTTATGGAGGACAAAGGGGACTTCAAAAAAATGTTGTCTTCTTAGGGTCTAATTTCTGACTTTAAACTTGGCCCACCATCCCAGGTTGACACCAGAAAGGCTCCAGGAAAGGCAAGTTTGGCAACCCCAACGCTGTGGGTGTGGGGTCCCACTGCTGCAGGTGCAAGCCTCCATGCCCAGCTCACTCTGCATCCTGCTGCTCAGCCTGTAATGCAGGGCAAGGCTGACATCACCCTTGGGCAGTGATGGCACCACCAGGCCTGTGCTGGCTACATGTGTAAGAAGCCTATGCACGCACACATGCACATATTTACAAATTATTACGTAAGGAAACCAGTACCTGATCATTTGTGAAGGTTTATTTCTTGGCTTTTTGGAACACACTCTGACATACTCCTTCTTGTTTGCATTTTCGATGAACTTCACATATATCCTTTTGTATTTACTCTTTGCATCTCCAAAATATCCCAAGTACTAAGGGAAGAGACACTTTGCATTACACAACTGCACAATCTTTTATCTTGTTGGACTGACGAGCACAAAGCTATCCTCAGGTTTCCAACATACAGCCTGGGCAGGCTCATTTAACCTGAACAGAAAGGACTCCAGGCTCACTCCCACTAGGAGCCCACTGAAGGTGTCTCTTTCACAGTTGAGCAGCTACTCTGCCAGCACAGCGGAGCGCTTCTGTCAGTCTTCTAGTAAAGAGGGTACCGAGGTAGAATAATCAACCGAAGGGAGCCTTGAAGGCCACCTGAACTATTCACAAACTGACACTGACTCCTTTCCTTTGTTTAAAAAAAAAGTTAAACCAAAATCATTTAGCTTATACTTGGTATTTAGCCATTGATTTAATTTACATTTACCTTTTCATTCATGACAGAGCATATGTGCACACGAAAGAAAGAGACGGAGATGGGGCAACCTTCCAGGCTCGTTCACACGGGGACCTTCCTATAGTCTTCTAGTCTACCAGGATACTGGGCACGCTTGCACATGCCTGGAGAGCTTTCAGGACAACCAGGCAGTGGACTCAAACCATGGTTGGCCTGTGGCTTCATTTTCACAGTCTACTACATGCCAGGCTGGGTCAGCTTCTACAGTATGCTGTGTAATATCATGTACTTTGTAGTTCAGAATTTATGCTATTTTAAATCGGAAATACTCAATAAAAATATATTTAAATTTAAATCATCCTGCATTTCCTTTAGGATTATTGCCAATAGAAAAGCTGTGTCCACCAGGTGGCGTGGCGGTTAAGGTGCTGGACTCCCATGTGGTCAACTACAATTAGAGTCCTGCCCTGGCAGCTTGCTTTCTCATGTTCATACCCTGTCCCGCATCTCTCTGGTAAGTGCACGTGCCCTTGTAAAATAAAATGTAAAAATATTATACCAATAATGATAAATAAAATTGAATAATTATTTTTAAAAAACAAAGGAAAACTAATGTAAACAAGCCTTTTACTTACACTATTTGTAGCAGCAAATTCTCTTTGACTATCTCTAAGTTCAGGAACAAACTTCTGTAATAAAGCTTTCTGTACTTTCCAAATAGCTGGGGGTTCTCTTCCTGTTTTTAAAGCCTCCTATAACAAATAGAATTAGAGAGCTTACAAAACAGAGCAGCATATTTTAGATTTACGGAATCTGAGGGCTGAAAGGAATCTTTAAGACCTCTCATCAGTTCTCTCTAGTGAACTTCTGTAATCATTTTTACAAGCTCTTGGGCTACTCAGCATCTTTTTAAATTCTTCTGCAAACAGGGAGCTCACTGATACACAAAGCAGTGCTTCACCCTTCTGAATGGCTAAGACCACAGGAGCTTTCTGCTACTGATAATATCATAGTGCTTATGCAATTTTCTAAGAGTACATATATACTTAAAGACTGGAAGCAAACATGCTCAAGTATTAACAGTAGTCAGTTGTAGGAATACAGATTATTTGAATGTTATATTCGTCACTGTACTTTTTAGTGCATTCTTCTCTATCCCAGTTTTAAAAAGGAAAAGAAAAACAAGAAAACAAAACCCAGAAAATATCTTTTTCTTTTAACTCTACTACACAGCATACGGGATCACCAGGCAGAGAGGGAAGGAGGAAGTGAGAGGGGAAAATAAGACAGCACCCTCGAGGGGAAGGACCACATGGCAGGTCCCTCTCCCTCCACTCTTTTTTTTTTTTTTTTTTGAGAGTATAGGGTGCATGCGCTTGCCAGACAGACAGAGACAGAAAGCGAGAAATCACCCCCTAGGGGGGATGGTCATGCCGCAATCCCTTTTCCTCCATTCTCCTCTCGGGATCTTGGGTACACACGTACACACGCCTGGAGTGAGTTTTAAGCCACCAGGTCCGGGACACGAACCGTGGTCGACTACATGGGAGTCCAGCGACATAGCCATTGCGCTAACTGCTGGTTCCCTCCCTCCACTCTTTTGAGACTTTGGTGCGTGCATGCACGCACATGTACCTGGCATGTTTTTCAGGCTGCTGTGCCCAGCACTTGAACCACACAGTCGACCATGTGGGATCCAGACACCTAAGCCATCATGCCACTGGCTACCCCAAATACACTGTCCTTTTTTTTGGAAAGGTTTTTGCTATAGGGTGCATGCACTCACCAGAAAGACAGAGACGGAGAGACAGAAAGTGAGAAATCACCCCCCAGGGGAGATGGCTACGCTGCAATACCTTCTCCTCCATTTTCCTCTCGGGATCTTGGGCACACATGCACACGCGCCTGGTGTGCATTTAAGTTACTGGGTCTGGGACTCATATCATGGTTGACCACATGAGAGTCCAGCGACATAGCCATTACGCCAACTGCTGGTCCCGAGATGGTAACATTCTACTTCTAGTTCTACAATTTGAAATTGTCAAATTGAGTAACATCCTACTTTCACATGATAGTCCTTTTATTTTTCTTTGAACTTTAAAATGATATAAATAGCAATTTTCTCCAAATTCTTAATAAAATCTGATGAGTTGGGAACTCAAAAAAATTAACATTATAAACTATAGTAATTTTAGTACAAAAATGCAACTGATTTACCAGAAATACATAAAACTAAGATAAAGCTAAAATTATTTTCAATGACTTCCTTTTTCAAAATATCTGACAGGGGCCAACAAGTGGTGTGATGGTTGAGGTGGCTGGATCCCCCATGCTTGATGGCCTGGCTTGTGTCTCGGACCCAGAGGCTTGAAAAACATGCAGGGCACCTGTGGGTAGATCCACAATCTCTACAGACCAGAGAAGAAGGGACTGTAGTGTGGCTATCCCTCTGAGAAGTGCATTCTCACTTTCCTTCTGTTTGTCTATGCAAACACAAGTGCTCTATAGTGAAATTAAAAGAAAAAGAAAATCAGATGTCTACTAGTTTGATTTTGTCAAACATGGTTAATGATAAAGCTATAACATCTTGTGATTCAAGCTAGATGCACACCATTGGAGCCATCAGGGAGGCTGACCTGGTGGCCAAGTGTGGCCTCGGGCAGGCGTTCTCACCTCACCTTGAAAGCCTCTATGTCCTCAGTCTTGACCACGAACTCATCGCGCTCTCTGTACTGGCCCTCCCCTCCACTCTCTGCGCTCTCCTCATCGGTGAAGCCTTCTATGGCAACAGAGTCCTGTCCTTCTGCACGCTTGTCTGAAGGAAGATCCTCAAGTTCCATGGACTTTGGGAGTTCTGTGGAATGAGCGCTGTCCAGGGTGCTCCCTGCGCACGGGGAGAGCAGAGGTTCCGGCTGCGCTGCGCTAAGGGTGGTAGAGGCCGCGGTGGCCGGTCCGGCGGGACCAGCTGTCGAGCCAGGAGTTGCCACCTGTGGGGCTTCTGAAATGAAATTAGGCAAATGCACATGAGCAACACGCACACATTTCCTTGTGCAGGGTAAAGCTAAACAGTTTAAAAAGTAAGACTTGCTTACTTTGGCAACGAAATTGGTTGAAACGATCAAAATGGCTGTTAATTTCCAAGGCCCAAAGATGGGAGAAGAGAAGGTGCCTAAGAAGCAGACTGTGATCCCCAGGCGACCTACCTGTACCCCTTCACTCTCCTGCCACAGACCAGATGTTTTTAAAAGAGCAAAGACAGAAAAGTGACAGAAAAAAGGGAAGGGTCAGCTGACCTAAGCTGTGAAAAAAAAGTGACAGAAAAAAGGGAAGGGTCAGCTGACCTAAGCTGTGAAAAAGCTCTGGAAGATAAAAAGCCAATTAGACGTGTGAAAGGAAAATCTCCCCAATACTGTGAGACTGGACAGAAGCTGCCAGAACAAAGAAATAAGTAACAGGCAGGGTGGGAAGGCCGAGGCAGCACCCCAGCGCCCCACGGGAGTTCAGCCCTCTCTGACTGCCCTGGTGTGCGTGTGCACATGCATCTGCGTGTGCTAGTGATCTTGGTTGCCTAGGACTGGCTGGACTGCAGAGGAAGGGGGGGCCTGTCTCTCACTCTCTTTTTATTTCTTTCTTTTTTAGGAACAAAAATAAAAATAAAAACGATTATAGACTATGGAAAAACTATATGTCAAAAAAAAATCAAGAACAGCAAAAGTGAACAAATTCTTAGAAAGATACAAACTATTATATTAAGGACTCAGGAATAAATATAGAATATGAATAACCAGTCTAAAATAAAGATAATTGAAGTAATTTGAAAACACCCCACAAGAAAAAGCACAGGTCCTAGTGCTTTGCTGGTGAATTCTAGCAACAGTTAAAGAACTAAAACCAGTTGTTCATAAATTCCCAAAAACCAGGAGGAAGCACCTAGGATTCATCCTATAAGGCCAGTAATTCAATACCAAAACCAGACAAAAATATCAAATAGCAAACCACAGAGCAGTATCATTTGTGACGGACAAACCTGTGGGCCAGCCCAGAGCACGGCGGTTAAGGGGACTGATTCCCACATGTCAACCACACAGTCTAAGCCCTGGAAAGCAGCTTGAAAAACACACCAAGTATATGTGAAGACATGCCCAAAATGCCAACACAATGGAGAAGGGATTGTGGCATGACCATGCCCCACTGAGGGTGTTTTCTTCCCCCCTCTCTCAAGAGACTGTATGCACCTTTAGGAAAATTTGAAAAACAAAAACAAAAACAAAAAACACAGAAATCAAGGGCAAACTCACCAACATATTAAAAAGAATCATACCATATGACCAACTGGTATTTGTCTTAGGAATGCAAGGTTAGTTTAATATCTGAAAAAATCAATAATATACTATATTAATAAAGAATAAAGCTATAGGCAGGAAGAAATACAAAATATGAATAACCAGTATCAAATAAAGACAATTTAAGTAAGTTAAAAACACCCCACAAAAAAGTAAAATTTAGTAGTAAAATACCATTTTAATACCAATGATGGTCCTATTCAGTAACCTAAACATAGAAGGATTTTTTTTTTTTTTT